TAGGCAAAGCTTGTATAGCTATTTTTTTTTCTATATATATAACTCGACAGCACGCCGCGAAGTAGGTGTTAGTGCGTATAGAATATAACTATGGTCTATCGAGCCCTTTGCGGAGGGGACGGTTCGAAGTGAACCGTACCGTGGGGCCGAGCTCCTGCCACGATAGTCATTAAAAATTGCCAGCGCATTTCGTTCATAGCATTCCAAATCAAATTCTGGGCATATTATATGTACATGCACAGATTTACGTGCATGCACACATGTACGCGTTTCTCGGCTCTATCAGTTGTTTTCGCGGAACGCATAGTTAAGTTTCTCGGCCATACCCACGCATTTACGTGGGACACATATGTGCGTTTCTTGGCTCAATCAACTGTTTTCGCCAAACGCATATATGAGTTCTTCCACCAATTTGATGATTTACGCAGAACGCATATATGCGGCGATAGTCCGCAAAGGGCTAGATTCATAGAGTATGCGACGGAAAGACTCGATCGCCGCATATACTATAAAGATAGAGCCCATCTGCCGCAAATGTGGTAATTCCCGCGTCGTGGGCTCCGTTTATAGGTTCTTAGATCCATGGCTTCCACATGCGAACAAAGTCAATTCAATTTCATTTATATCAGAAACGTTGCGAAATGAATTACCAGATATATCTATAATGGTACGTATTCTTTCTCAGGATTTATTAATTTCCAATACGCCATACCACAATCAACTGGTTATTGACAGCAACGTTTACTGAGGTATTTTTAATTATGCGCCGCCTCCGAAAAGGTTGAAATGTATTTAATATATTACCTAACGAGTAAATAGGTTTCATTCATATCTGTTACGTAATTGTATGATTGAATGAAATAAAAATTACTTCATTAGGAAATAGAAATTATTTTATACTTTTTAGTGCATTTCGAAGTCGGCGTATTTTTTTCTTAAAATTATTTTATATTACTAGCTATCCCTGCTGCCTCTGCAAAACGTTTTCACATTTCTCCCATTTTATTTCAAAGTTTAACCAAAAAATATATTTTCTTTGAACTAAAAATTAAAAATGTATCGTCTAAAAATGCGTATTAATTATATATGGAAGGTTCATAATAAAAAGATTATCAGAAAGTATTTGAATTGTATATTACATACTATGCTAATTATATTTTGTTCGAACTTCTCATGTTTATGCAGGTTTACTAGATTCCATAACGAGTACAGCAAATAGTGCAGATTGTCCAGGTGTGTGCGTACACGCATTCGCAACATTAATATGTTATGAAGTTCTGGAACATGTGCAATGTCCAACTAGTATGCGATGTTGTATTGAAGCACCTATAAACGGTACTACTGGAACTTCTGAAAATATTGCTAGTGATGATGGTTCAACTTCAGTTATGACGACTAGTGTTAAAGTAACAACTACAAGCACGACTGTACCACCGACGACCACCAGCCTTGCAATTTCACCGTTAACAACTTCGTCAAAAATTACTTCCGTAAGTGTATGGAATTATAATGTTAAATAATAAGAATTATATATAATAACTTATATGATAAACAGGATATATCTTATAACAAGATCTACGAATTTTGAATGGTTTTAAGTAATTTATCAAAACAATGATCTCTTAAAATTAATTAGTTCTTTATCACGTATAAATTGCAGTTGAAAATATTAAAACACGTTCTTTTCATATTGAAAAAAATGTAGATCGCCTTAATTTATTTTTTAGTAGAATCATGTATTAATCGATGCAGTTTGTTATTTTCTATAACAAAGGTTAAATAGGACTCCGTATAGTGCGACACTTCTGTGACGCAAACTTCTGTCTTCGTAGAACTGATAAAAATGCTGCTGAAAATAAATTTATTTGCGACATGAAAGGATATGCTTTATTGAACTAACTTAAAATTACAATTCCACATTCTCTTTTGTATTGAAAAGGTTGACTTGTTTAACGTGTATATTGCATGGCAGTTATTAATTTTTATTTTATGCTATATGCTCCCGAATGAAAAGCAAGGATAAATAGATTTAGAATTATACATGTTTTAAGAAAAGCAAAGATGTAAATTATAAGTATATTCTTGTTTTTAGGATATTCAGAAAGAAACAAACGACAAAACATCAAGTATGTAAGAAATTTTTATTATTAAACAAATTATATAGGGGGAGTTCCCCTAACGTCGAACAGCATCTAGTATCGGACATCAGCTATTCATCGCATTTGAAACACTATCAAGCCATTTCTTCAGTTTTGATTCAGTTTCGACAAGTTCCAGTCGCGTATGCACAGCTGAAGATATCAGTTGATTGTTGTATTTGACAGAAACCCGGTGCATCGTATGAATTATAAACTATTATATCTACCAATTTTCGTGGTTAAAATACGCGTAAGTTGCGTTATTATATTTTTTAGTAGGTATTTTTAAAATTATCTTTGTATTTTGGGTATGCAGTGCACTGGTTTTCATAAGAGAAATTTTTTAATAGCTTCACTTTCCCCTGGTTCCTGACAGAACATTTTTTTCTATTACCGGACGGTATTTATACTATTTCAGTCTTCTGTTTTGCTCTTCGTACTGCAACTTATTGTATTGATTTTAATGATTGAATGATACATCTGAACAACATGAATAATACAAAAAATTAGAATGAAGAGTTAGAAGGTAGTAAGAACTATAATAAGATAATAAGATCAAGAAACATAAACCAGAGGTGATCAAAGGTGATCAAGGTTGCAGTTCAACGTACCAAAAATGGATACCTGAGTCTTCCGTCAATATCTTCGAATGTTCTGGCAACTGTGTTTGCAAAAAATTACTCGTATATTGAAAGCGTTCTGTGATACTTTATTAGTTTTTACTGTGTCCGGTATTAGGTGTCACTTAATGATTTCCCAGGATCATATATCAAAGTTAAACATTAATTTATGTTAACTCTTATGATAATTTTATTTTATGTTGCTTATGTTTATTTTGTTGCTTTATATTAAATTGTAACATCGTCAAATTACAAATAACGCAGAGTGAAAAGAACGAAATATTATTTGTTCTTATTTGTTTAAACAAATCTTAAGTGTCCGGCACTAGGGGAGCTCCCCTAAGTATTACAAATATTTGCATGATAATTTATTTTAAATAAAAACAACAACACTTTGTGATAATACGTAGCTAATACATAGCTATAAGATTTAGCTTATACATATCAATTTTTAATCTAATAATTGTAAAAGGTAGCAAGAAGAATGTTTGTCTGCGATGAAATGTATTTTCTTAACAAGGCATTGATTTTTTGCAGCAAAAGCTTGTTCTGGAATTTGCATGGCAGAGAGAATTGCCGATTACTGCGATGCTGTTTTAGCAATAGACACTATTTGCAAGCCGGGATATAAATGTTGCGTGTCTAGGGACGCATTTGGAGATTCACCTCCGGCGGAATTGCTGGTAATTGATCGTATGAATTCCAGTCGTTTTGATGAAAAAACCGGCATTAATATGTCATACAAAGGTTCTTCGACCTCTACAACAGTAATACCAAATACAGCTGTTTCTACGAACGTATCTACAAATTTAATAACAACAACTACAATAGCAACGACGAAACAATCAGCGACTACAATGAGACCAAAGATTACAATAAAAAAGCCATGTAAAGGTGAATGTGTCAGTGGATTTTTTGCACTTCTTTGTGATAAAGTGGACGGAGAAGCTGAATGTCCCGATGATGGATCCTGTTGCGTTATTGATGCATTCATAAAAACGGTAATTAGTCTATAACTCACTATGTTGTTAAGATTATTACTTTCAACTTCTTCTGAAGTAAGGTCAATTTATGCTATTTCGTATTGTCAGCGTGTTGTTAACATGATTTTCCTATTTCATGATCGTTTTCCTACATATACATAGATACTGTTACTTATGACCTATCTCGACATCGAAACGTTATTTATCTTTTTCCAGTAGCGGTAACGGCCCGATTTAGTCATAAATTGACCTTTATTTGCCATTTAAAAAAAATGTTTGAAGCGTATCTTGCTTTATTTCGAGAAGAACATATTATGAGCACACATCTAATTTAGATAGAAGCACTATCGAAGCTTTCAAGTAATTATTGCTTTGTTATGAAAGTAAATATTCATCTTTTTACATAAAACAATTTATCTAAACAGTGTAGTTAGAAAAATGTTAAAGTACAGTTTTAATATTTTATGTAGAATATTTTGTAGAACTGGCTTATGTATAAAAACGAAAATCAAATTATATAAAGAAACGTGCATTTACATTTTCTTGTTTATGAGACTGAATACTTATAATTACACAAACCTATTGTACAAAAATTCTACATAAAAGACATTAGATTCCAAAAATATTTCTAATTTTTGTATGAAATATTTGAGTTTGGAACTTACAAGATACCATGAATTATTGAGCGAGCGAGCCGAAGGCGAGCGAAGCTCTTATACTTGACTTCGCAACTTCTTTATCCGCGTTTTTCTTTCGCATCACTCAACCAATTCTCATCAAATTTTGCACGCACATGCGTATGTACATCCAGATGGACATAGAAAAAAAAATTTTAAATCGGACGTACCACGGAGGAATAATCACCGAAAAACCAGATCCCCGTAGACTTCAATGCAAAATTGAATTTGCTCGCGCTTATGTACTTGACTTTTCAACTTTTTTGTCCACATTTTTCTCTTGCACCACTCAACCAATACAACCGGATGATACGGTTGACTATTTTTGCTTTAGCGTGAAATTTACTCGCTCGCTCAACATTGTTAGGTTAGGCGCGGAGCGCCAATCAAACAGACTTAGTAATTTAATACTTTCCTAAACATAATATGTCGAAAAACTGACGTAGTTAACTTCAGCGTCGTTAAAAACAGTCATCCTGGCATTTCGACTGTTCTTCCACCTAAATAAGTTTTATATCCATAATATATGGGATGTTCATCATAAATTAGTATATGAAATTTATTTGAAACACTTATTTCAATAATAAATAATGTGGTTTATGGAAATTAATCAAACAGTAATTTATCGTAAAATAGTTCTTCATAATTTAATTAATGAACTTCTTCCTATATACATATACAACTGTTTATTGACTAACTCGATTGCTCATGCTATAACAAACAACACAAATTTATTCTTAACCAAATATCTCAATTCCAATTTCTATAATGCTTCCACAGTTTTTATACTTCATACCCTTCCTTCATATCATTCTTTCTTCGCTGTTATCACGTCTATATTATTCTTATCCATATCAGTTTACACGTGAAGATTTTTAATTGTCGGGAACATCAAAAGTAAAAATTTATGCAACTGAAATAGTTACACGTGATGTACTGGGATAACAAATTAAATTATACAGTTATACAGATTAATAGAAATCCTCCATGAATTCTCCGTGCCACAAACAAAAATTAAACGATTTTGCAATTTATGTTCTAACTTCGTAATGAGACATACCAGTAAAAAATGAATTAATATTTCGTTGCACATACATATATTTTACATATATTTTACATATATTTTCAGTATGAGTAAACTTATAAATTGGTTATAGCAGTCCCCCGGCATCAGTCAGATTTAAAAGTAAAGATGGTAGATGTACTTTCCTGAGTTCCTAAAGCTCATAGTGTAATGGATGCATAGTGCATGCGTATTTAATTATTCGCATAATTCAATTTTCGAGCCGAACCAGTTAACATCTTGACCTTGCATGAGTTACTGCTATAATTTGATAGATACGCAAAGTAGCAACGTTTCTATCGTTGAATAAAGTATGGAGAATTAATTTTTTTAAAAACCCATTCATTTAATGGCCAATGATAGTTAAACTCTTCTCCTAGTTGGTTCGATTGCTTGTTTGACATAGTTGTACACCAAGTGGGTTCCACGTAAACCCTACTTGATCATCATAACCATGTCTGTTAAATTTAGAGATACTCAAAAAGTATATTCATAAAAATTCTATACCATCAATGTGGAAATTATTTCGTAATAATATAATATATTGTTATAGGTAGCAGATCCTTAGAGGTTTCAAAATTAAGCCAATTTTTCCTTAATAGAAATAGCATATTATACAATGAATCCTATATGAAACATTCTATATAACAAAACATTTAGGTATTGTATAAAACACATAATTTGTAACATATTTTATATGCAAGATCTGAAATACATAACGAATTATTATTTTTTGGACAGTACATCCTATTACATTCTTTTTATAAAAAATGGTCGATGAAAATTTACTTATACAACAAAAAAATATATAATTCCATTAAAAGAAAACGTAATTAGAATTTCATTTAAATTGACGAATCAAAAAACCAAATAAACCAAAAAATGGAAAATTCCTTTTTTTTATATTATTGTTTATAGTCGCACCAACCACTAATTGGGTTATTAGCGACTTAATAATTCGGTTTACAATTTATTATATAGTCTGGTATCTTTGTATTGATTTATCGTCCTTCAGATTATCCATCCATGTAGGTTTTACGATCAATTTCTGTTTGCCCTCAGTATACTTTGTGCATTGGATGATAAGGTGATTCATTGTTACGTTGATCTTATAATACATAGCTCGTAGATTGGGGGTTCTTTTGTACTGAGGAGGTGCTGATGTGTGATTTTTGTGTGATCAATTATGATTCTTGAGATGACAACTTGGTCACGTCCTTGTAAGGAGCTAGTAATAATTTTCGTGTAGAATTTGCTTTTGATTATTGTCAATTTAGGTTTAGGTTGAATAGTACTTGAGGAGTTAGGTAATTTTTGTAGTAGTCGCTGGAAATTTGCTGCTTCTTTGGCTACTCTATCCGCTGTGTCGTTACCCACGATGTCTACGTGGGAAGGGATCCAGACTATTCTAACTTGGTTGTTTCTTTGTATTGATTTGATATAGGTTAGTTGGTACTCTTGTATGGGGGTGTTGTTTGTCTATTAGTTTTGGATTGTGGAGATGACGGTTAAAGAATCACAGAAGATGTTTTGTTCGGTAGCAGTGAGCTCAATGGCATATTTTTGAACCGTCAGTGTATATATGCGACTTGTTTGAGTAAGAATTTTTAAGCTCTTAGAGTGATGTCTTCAGTAAATTTGTATTTGTTTCTTCCTTACTGCATAGATTGCTTTACATGTTATAGCTTGAATTTCCATGTCATGTTCTTTCAAGAGGTTTCTTAACCTTTGATAGAAGGGAAGGTGGAATTTGTTCCTTTATTGCATCGATTGATTTTGTTTAAAGATTACTTGGTAAACAGGGTTTTGTGAAATAGAGGCGATTTTGATTGCAAATATGATGCTTAGCAATTTTCTTCTAACGTGTAGCGACAGTTCTGTTGCTTCACTAAGGATACCATTAATGGAGCTAGTTCGGAAGACGCCAGTTGCTATTCTTACAAGGAAAGGCACGCAAGTGTCCCCCTCCGATTTTGATGAAACTTCGTAGGTTTGTTAAGCAGGCAAAAATAAGGGACACGTATTTTTTTTATCGGCTGAGACGCGGGTTTAAGGGGTGAAACGAGCCCTTAAAGTTTCGATCTCTTTTGGCTATCACGAAAATCATACGAGATCCATTAAAACTTCTAATAGGAAAGTTGTATGGTTTCTTGCGTATAATAACAGGATGTTAA